GGCCTACAGTATCCCCCACTTTGCCAGTACGAACGTGCTGGTGATGATAATGACAATAAAAGTATGGGTTATATATAAGGTGCAGCTCTGGTGGAGCTCTCTCTCTCTCTCTCTCTCTCTCTCTCTCTCTCTCTCTCTCTCTCTCTCTCTCTCTCCCTCCCTCCCTCCCTCCCTCCCTCCCTCCCCCAGATCAGAGGGAGCACAGTAGCTGGGCCTAGGCCTCTTCATGAGCTGATGGTTTGGTGTAAGCTATTCACAAAAGCTTTGCCATTTGCAAAACTTGCTCCAAATAACTTTGTTGGGTTAAGGTCCTGGTAAGGGGGGGAAAAAGGAGACCTCCTAAGTTATCTCCAGAAGCTGTGAATGTTCCAACACTGGAAGTTTTTAAGAAGAGACTGGACAGCCATTTGTCCAAAATGGTGTAGGGTTTCCTGCCTGAGCAGGGGGTTGGATTCGATGACCTCCAAGGTCCCTTCCAACATTATTATTATTATTATTATTATTATTATTATTATTATTATTATTATTATTGTTGTTGTTGTTGTTGTTGTTGTTGTTGTTGTTGTTATTATTACTATTATTACACCTGTTTCAGTTCTACCCCAATTCTTAAATAGAATAAATTATTTCTTGTCAAACATTTGCAGGACCATCATCATCATCTGCTGAAAAATAAGTTTTCCAGATTTTGTGGCCTGAGCTGCAGGGAGAATTTTCTTTTTCTCAGTGAAATGGGCTAAACCCTACCAAGCTGTCAAAAGTGCAAAAAAGTAGGTCTTTACCTTAAAAAGACACTAGAGACCTCTGAGCAAGCATATTATGTTTTGCCTCCGTGTTTATTTAATATTTTAAACTGTTGATTCACCTCTCCTTCCAACTCCTGTAACGATTCCTATTAATTTTACACACCCATATATTTGCAGCCTCATCTTATATAGTTTAAAGTATTTTTCCCTGCAGGGGTGGCTGCGAATTCTGAAATAGTCCTTCCAGCTGTTGGAGAGGCTGTTTTAACACTTCTCCTGGTTGTGAGTCCTGATTAAGATGCCTTTAGAGGAAATGAGCAGATGCTGGCAGAAGGAATTTGCGCACACCACTTAAGGTACTATTTGCCCAAGGGGTATTTTATCAATTAACATTTCAGCCAGTAAAATCAAACCGTTAGGGATGCCTTTTCCTTTTTTGGCACCCAAAGCTCTTCTTAATTTTCTGGATCCCGGTGGCTTCTAGATTTCCCTTGCCACACAGACAAGTTTTCCAGGCATTGGCAGCAGATCAGATCATAAAGGAAATGGATCAGGAAGAGGAATTCTACCCAAATCAGTTTGGTATTTTGTCTGATACAGTTACCTTCTTTCACAAGGAATACAGACTTGTTGTTTTTTTTCCCAAGAAAACCCCGTTCCTGTGATCTGGGTGAAAGGAAGCTGGGAGAAAAAGTGAGCACAGAGACCCCATATACGGATTAGGTCAAACTGGGGCAGAACCCCACAGGAGGAATTGCAGCCTTTCCTTTCCTTGAAGGATATCCAGAGGCCATTATGGGTGTCTCTCTGCATGTTCTGGGCAAGGGCATGCATAGGTTTCCTCTCTTCTACGATTTGGGGAGGGCCCCAAGATCTCAAAGCTGGGCAACTCCATTAAAGCTCCAGACTCAGCATAGAAGCAGTGGAATGAATGACATGCCAGTCTAATTAAAAATAATAATATAGGGAACTCTGGATCACATCCAATCTATATTTCTTTCACATCTTCATATTGCACAGTGCTCCTAGCAAATGATACCGCAGCAGTTTTATCCAATGTCCTTCTACATTTAGAGACATCAATGGCTGGTGGATTTCAATTATGTCCCATGCTTCGTTACTTCCCCCACCAATTAGGGACCAAACGTTTTACCTAAAACATATCTTTCCAAGAACAGGACGTGCAAGAATTCCATCCTCCCCCTCCCCCCTTCAATATATTCTGATTAAAACACTTTTAACAACTGAGATAAATTCCCTCTGCTTATCTTCTTGGATTGCTCGGTGCTCCTGAGGCAGCCTCTCTATTTTACAACGTGGTTTATGTATCTATTATTTCGTTAAGGAAAATATATTCCCTATATAAGCCTCCAAAGGTTTCATTATCTTTATAAAAAGCCCTACTGTACTAACCTTTTTTTTTTTTTTATTCCTCCTCATTCGATAATAAATCACCAACTGGAGATTTGAGCCATTTTATTTATTAACAGAAATCACATAATAATACATTCAATTTATTGTCATCTTTATCATTATTATGAAAGTGGGGGGGGGAGAATACACGACTATATAAAGCCGGGGGGGGGGGAAACGTGCTACGGGCGACATTTGCATAGGCCCTACGTACAATAAGCTTGAGGTAAGAAACAATTTACATCGGGACTCTACCGCGAGCGACAGCTAGGTAATAACAGCGAGACATTCACTAGCAGGAAGGAACGAGGGAGACGTCGGATACACACCCACACACCCACACCGGCGACGAACACAAGACGGACAAAATCGACACAGAAGAATACTCGAGTTCGGTCAGAAAGAGAATATTGCATATATTTCAGCGCCTTCATTTTTAGTGGATCAGCCCCTCCTCCTCCTCCTCCTTTAAATATTGAAGTAGGGGTTGCTTTGCACAGCCTGGGTTTAACTTTCCTGCCGGCGCCTGGGGTTTCCAAGCGCAGAGGTGCCTCTTCTCTGCGGACAGCGCAACTGCCCTGGGACCGTGAAATAGTGTATTAACAAGGCAGCCAGTCGCCTTATGGCCTCTTTCCTTCCTTCCCTCCCTCCTCGGATGATAGGATTTACCTAACCGGGCCTGTTTAGGCTGACTGCAAACCAGGGCGCCTGATAAAGCCGCCCACCTCCAAAATACTCCCCCCCCCCGGCGGCGCGTTAACATTAGCCCCGGGTTGCAAGACCTGGCGAGCTGGGCGGGAGACCCAGGACCGCTAGGATTGCGACGGCGGCTTCCTCGAGATAAGAAATCTGGGATAACATTGATAAGCCCGGTATCTTGAACTACCCTCAAGCCTGAGTCCCATTCCCCACCTCCGGCGTGGCCAATGCTACCTGATTTATACAATATCTATATCACATTATACTGCAGTGGCTCAAGGGCATCTCTCTCTCTCTCTCTCTCTCTCTCTCTCTCTCTCTCTCTCCATCTCCCCCTCCCCCTCCCCCTCCCCCTCCCTCTCCCTCTCTCCCCTCTCCCCTGTTTTAAGCCTGCACACACTCTATACAAACCACAGGCGCAAGCTTTTCAGGACAGACAAGAAAGCCGGATCAGGGCAAAGGGGTCAGCCGCTGCTGGAGAGAAGGAGAGGGGGAACCTTTGGTTTTGCAGTCCTTGGAGCCTCGGGGCAGGACTCTGCACATCTTCCCACCATTCCCACGACCTTCATTGCAGGGCGGTGAGAGAATAGCCATAAACACAGGTACATTTAGTGTACACCACTATCCCGGGATCCCTCTTGTTTTCAGACCATAGCCAGGTGAAATTTCCTCTCCTTTGTCGCTGCGCGTGTGCGTGCGTGGATGTGAAGCCTGCAGAAGGTGTGCCCTCCTAAAGAAAGGAGGATAGATATTAGAGAGGGCCCAGTCCTCTGCAGAAGGGTGAGGCGGCGGCGAAGGGACGGGATAAGGAGAAAAAGCCTGAGATTTTTTTTTTTTAAAGGCTTCCACAGAAGGGAGTGGCGGCCACAGGCATTTGAAAGAGTAGCCGGCGGATCGTAAAAGCGAGGAATTCCTGCTACCAGCCGTGACCGTGAACGTCCCTGCCCAGAAGCCTGCGAAAGTAGCCAGAGTCTCTCTCTGCTAGCCCACTATGGCGGTTATGATCGGGGTGTAATTATGGAAAGCAGCAAAACTGGGAGGATGGGGATCGGGGACAGAGGACGTCCAAACCCGACAGGTGTTAGAAAAACAAATTTAACACTTTCTTTAAGAAATGACAACCCAGCCAGGAACAACACAAACGGCCCACAAAGAAACAACTAGCGGGCCTGCTCTTGTGCTTCCCCCTCCCTGCCTCTCCTGCCCTGCTCTAGGTGGTAAGAAAAAATGCAGATGAAAGCTGGGGGGGTCGGTGGGAGACTTGAAGAACTGGGTGGAAATCATCCCAGCAGATTATGAAGTGCGAGCCCTGCATGCGGGCGGGCGGACGGGCGGGTGGGCGGATCAGAAAAGGAGAGAAATAACGCGACACACTCCATAAATGTTCACAGTTGGCAGTCGCTACCGGTGGCAAATCGGGAATGAAAATAAAGCGCCTGTGTGTGCCCGCGCTCGCGTGTGTACAAAGATCCGAGAAAACGGCATGCACGCGCACACAGATATCTCTTGAATCTTGAGGGAGAACAGGGGTTGATACTGCCTTTCTTCCAATTCTGTACTTCACAGTGTAAATGTAAGACATATATAAAAGAGGGAAGTGATAGGAGACGGGGAGGGAACACCCCCTTTTTGTTCATTCCACAACAGAAATCATTGATACAGGCGCTAATATTAGAAGGCATCTTTCCTCCGAGCGGAGATTGCTGTTAATAGCTTAATTAGTTCCAAGGGGCTGCCACTGTGGTTAATGTATTAAAAAGGGAACACCCCCCCCCACTTCTCATCACCTTCTTAATCGTCAATAAATAGAACGGCACAATAAACAGCACAACCTCTCCTTCCACCGAGCTGTTATTAAAGCACAAATTGAAATTATTGTTAAGCATTCTATTAGAGGGAGAGAGAGAGAGAGGCAGGGAGAGAAAGGGGGTGGGTGAGGTGGGGCTGATTGCAAGGAAGGCAGCCTGCTTAACGCGGAAGGCAGCCTCCAAAAGGCTCAGTTCACGAATCCAAGAAATACATACAATAAATGAGGTAACTTCCTTAAGAATTTTTCCTATTTTTTTTTTTTTTTAAAAAACAAACGTTAGCAATGCTAGGTCATCTCACTAAAGACACCCCCCACACGCACACACCCACACACATACGAACATACACGTACCTATAGATAATTATAGCCGGTAAACCACCCTGTATATCGGTGGGGGCTGAACCAATGGTCCCACGCTCCTGCCGCAGTGACTTTCAGGAAAATAACTTGCGAGTAGCACCAGCTACATTTCGATTGCCGAAGCCCCCCCCCCTCGCCCGCCCGGACGGGGGAAGAAAGACAGCTGGGTAGATGATCTGTACCATCTGCGTCGTTAGAGACGGAAATACGCAGCTCACCTGGGTACCACAGTCGCCTCTTCCTGAATCTCGCCTTGGTAAGCCACCAGCTCTGGGCCAAACCTGTCAAGCTGGCTCACCAGCTTCCAGAAGACTGGTTCTCGGTGATTTCAGACGAAGGTCACATCCACGCGTGTTTTTTTCCTCCAGCGAATAACAAATCCCAACAGGACACCCCTCCCCTCCCATCACCACCTCTCCCCCGCCGAGCAGCGGGCAACGAGTCCATTCTCGACCGCCTTTCTTCTCCGCCTCTCCCTGCCGGCGAGCTACCCAATCCCGACCTCCAGAGTCAGGAAAAGAAGAAAGCGAGGGAGCCTCAGGACTTGCTCCGGGAAGCGTCTACGTGTGGCGGCTTGCCCAAGCCCAGAACCATCCGGCTGAAATTGCCTTCGCGGAGCACTCCCGACCCTAGCTGGCAGGTCTTTTTTTAGCTGCAAGAAGCCAGGCGGACCGAGGGAGGCGGTCCCTGGTATCTGCGCATTCCCGTTCTAAGCGCTTCCCTACAGATTTAGGAGCGGAAGGGAGGGGAAAAAAAAAAAAGACATTTTCTCCTATTCACTCGCTCTCGCTTTCTCTCTCGCTCTCCTCCCGCGTTCGAACGCTCGCTCGCTCTCACGCACACCACCACGCCTACTGCTGGGCCTTTTGAAGACGGATACTGATTAATATTAATAACATTATCATTCAAGGAAAATAATAAAAAAAAATCTCAACCACATCGGCTAAGAGTTCCGGGTCCCGTCAGGTACTACCACCACCAGCAGGAAGGCGAAAAGAGTCTTAAGTGGTTCCCCTCCTCCGCAGTGGATGCTCTGAGAAGCCCTAAAAGAAAGAAAGCGCTTGCTCTCTGAGGAGGAGTCTTTTCTTTTTCATCCGTCGGTTCTGGAACCAGATCTTCACCTGCTGGTCGCTCAGGTTTAGCCGGTCTGAAAGCTCTCTCCTTCTTTGGCGGGTAATGAACTCGTTGACCATAAATTCGCCTTCCAGCTCGGCTAGCTGCAGCTTGGAGTAGGGTTTTCGCTTTTTGCGGGACCTCGTGTGCATCGGGTACCAGGGAGCACCTAAGAACGGGAGGATGGAAAAGGTGATTTAATGAGAGAGAGAGAGAGAGAGAGAGAGAGAGAGAGAGAGAGACTGTCTCAGAAGGGGTCCTTCTCTCCTTTTACTCACTTCTAAAACAGATTACACATACTTCTTCAATGCCAAATTCTAGGGACGGAACATTATCACCCTCCCTTAAGGAAAACAAAGTTCTCAAAACTGCAGGGACCTGGAAAGATAATTAGAGGTTAAAAACTAGCTAATATTCTCTTACAAGGAAGGAAGGAGGGTGGGAAGGAAGGAATGCAGAGACCTTGCCCACTATTGTTGTTTGGGAAGGAATATTAAGAAGGAAAGGATCCCAATCTCTTACTCAGATTCGAGTCAGATAAACCGAACAAGGCCACCAGCAGAATAAACGTTTCCCTACCTTGAGAGGCAAGGACTTAAGGAGCCCCACGGGCTGGGTGCAGTTTCGAAAGCCACTTTGAAAGAACTTTAGGCAGGAGGGTGTTACAGAGTCCTAAAGCCAGAGAAACGGGGGGGGGGGGAAAGAGAAGGGCCGGATTTTACCCGCTGCCGCTCCGCAAGAAGGGGAAGCCGAACCGATCCCTGTTCCCGGAAGAGTTTCCGATGGGAGAAAACAAATGCCCTAACCGGAGGACCTGCTGTTATTGTCTCTTTATTCAGGCACCAGCATCTCCCCGGTTTGCCGGGGAAGCGCGCTGGACTGTTCGCGAGGAGACAACGAGGCGGAAAGATCAAGTTCTAGAAAGAACTTGAACCCCCCTCTCCTTCCAGATGGTCGTCTGGAATGGCCCACTCTACCAGAGTTAACAAATAATCCACAAACAGCGCGCCCCCCCCCTCCTCCGTCCCCGATGGAGTTTTTCCTCGCCGGCCGAAAAAGGGCGCCTATGAACTTTTAATAAATGGAGAAAGAAAGTAAGTGCCATCCACAGACCAGCGCCACCTCGCCCGACCGCTCCGGAGACGGCCAAGCTGCATAAAGATTGGGGAGGAGGGGGGGGGGAGGGCAGGGAGAAGAGAAAAGGCAAGGGAGACCGCCTTCCCGCCTGTCTGTTTGGGCCCTCGCGATCCCCTTTTTATGGGATATTTACATGTTTATAGGCTCTTTTTTTTTTTTTTCCTTTTTAAAAAGAAGCAGCTCCTAATAAAGCGCGAGGCATTTGAGGGCTACCCCTAGTGGCTTCGGCACAAATCGGCAGGCGGGCGGGCGGGCAGGCAGGCGGGCGGGCGCAGCCCAGCTGCTTAATTTCCTGGAATTTGGAGCAGACTTTTCCCCAGCCCGGAGGGAGAGGTAGGGAAGGGAGAAGGAGGGAAGGGAAGGAGAAGGCGTTGCAGAAATCCCATTTTGCTTTGCTTATGAAGAGCCGACTCTTTTTCCTCCCAGGCGTAGGATCTTACCCCCAGCGGACAGATTGCTTCCTTGGTTGAGAGGGGAGACCAGCGCGGACGCCTCGTTGGTTGCGCCCTTGTTCTCTTCATTGAGCAAGGAGCTGCTGGAGTCTGACTCCAACGACTGACAAGAAGGGGGGTCGTGGGACACCGCCGCCTCAGGAGCCGGATAATCAAATTTGCCGAAATTGCCGCTCATTCCACTGGGGATGCCCGACTCGAGGGGCATCAAGGCAGCGTCCCTAACTCTCTCTTCCCTTTTGAGGGGCGCGTTCTCCGAGCACGCCTCCCTATAGTAGCACTTGCTTTCTTCCACTCTAGCTAGGTCGCAGGCTCGGCCGAAGGAAGGGTTAATGGACACGGGGCTGCTGAGGTAGGGCTGGGGATATCCGTTGCAGGGCTCCGAGGACGGCCAGGGCAAAGAACAGACATTGTCCCGTCTTGGGTAGGAGAGAGATGGCAACCCGGGTAGTTGTCCTCCGGAGGCTCGGAAATTGGGAAAGTAGAAGGTGTCTCCCGTATGGATGTTCACCAACGGTCCCACAAACCCAGGATTAAGGAGATTATGTTCGCCCATTTCCGCGGGCCTGACCAAGAGCTTCTAGTTTATTGCTATCTGACATTAAACATAGTTAAACCTAAAGGTCCACCCGATTGGTCTGGAGGGGTCACGTGAGCACCAACTTGCGTTAAGAAAGGGTGCCACCCACCTTTCGCAATTTGAGACGGAACGCAACGCAATGCGAAGTTCTGTCTGCCGGGCGGGTTCTTTTACAGCACACACACACACACACACACACACACACACAAAATAAAACGCGTATTAAGCATATCAATTCTTTTTCCATAAAGGAATGACGCCTCGTTTTCCCCAACCACGTTAAGCATCCCTTTAAGCAGTTGACAAAAATTAAGCTGTGTTTTCATTAATTAAATCCGCTGAAATTTACACTATCTCCCTAGTAAATTCCTGCTAGATATTGGGTCGTGGAAAGTTTACAGGCTCTTTAGGAAAAGGAATGAATCTAACCACAACAGGCTTGTGTTTATAGATACGTGGGGCGGAGGAATTTCATTTTCCCTCTGCATCTAAGAGAAAAGTCTTCCACTTTCTTTTTTTAAACCTTATTTAGTTTCAATAGCAGGAGCGGAGTTCGCATTTAGAAAAAAGTTCTTAGGGAAAGATTTTTCTTTCCCTCTAGAAGTAGAAAAAAGGGAATTAGAGGAAGCGCGCCAATCACTTCGGGGATCTTGCAAGGAGATCCCCTTTTGCAAGGAGACCCACTAAACAAAGGGGGTCGGAGACTTTTCCGTCTTCTGGATCTCACCTGTCCTAAACTGCTGTTTTTGGATCTTTAATTCGAGGAGGAATCGGCTTTTATCACATCCTGGTTTACAGGACAGATTGTTCCTCCAAAGTGTTAGCGATTTTGAAAAAAAAAAAACTGCTGGGGGGGGGGGAAGTTCTTCAAAGAAAGCAGAGTCTCAGAGACCCTTCAAAACCAAAAGGAATTCAGGGGGGGGGGAAAATATCCACCTCACCGTTTCTGAGTACAAAGGAAAGAGTTGTTTAGTTTGTGGGAAGCTTATGCTTCTCTTCCCTTTTCCAGAAAGAAGGAATTTGTACTGTAGACACTATTTTCAAGACCCGACGGCTCATTTACCGTAAATACCCCAATACAAGTAACTTTAATTTGCCGGAGAGCTCCTGAAGGACTTCTGCTCTCTCGCCTCCAGATAAACCAAACTAATCAAACAATGGAAGCGCTGCACGTTTTCATTCAAAGCGCTGCTCTGGGGCGTTCAAATCCTGGAGGATTAAGCACGGGCTTCCTCCCCATTAGGAACCACTGCCTCTTCCCCCAGCTATGTTGAGAGGCTGGCCAACAGCGGGAAGGGGAACCAAAAGCACGTGGGAATCAAATAAGCACTTTTATTTCTTAATCCTATTAAAACCAGCTCCCTGGTTTTTCCACACTCCGAATCCAGTTGAACCCGGCTGAGGCATCTTTGGGGAGGATCCCCCCCCCAACTTTTAACCTTTTCAGGAGCAGCTCTTCGCAATACCCGAGTTCAGTGGAGATCCTTTTCCAGTGCAGCCGAATTGCTGGGCAACTTAATTAAATGTGTAATCCAAATTGCTCCTACAATTGGGACTGGTAGGTTTGTTCTTTGGTGTGATCTTTATTACGCTCCCTGCCAGCTTTGTTCTCTTGCTAAGGGTGGCCGAGAAACGCCAGCTCCCAGGCGGTCCGTTCAGACCTCTTTAGGGCTTTAGGACAAGAACTGTACTTGTGAAGATCCCATCCCTCTATACTCCCGGAGCAGATCTCTTTTTACAAATACATGCCTTTCCCCCCACCCCAAAGCCCGCTGGCAGCCTAGAGCCAAACGTTTTCAAGTTGATTTACCGCATAAAACGCCTGTGATTTCACTCCTGCCCACCGTTAGACCTTCGTGATTTCATTGACCTCGGTGGGATTTAAAGCTGCTTAACTGTTCACAAGGCGCTGGCGTTTACCCGAGGTAGGTAGATATTCTTCCGAGGTAAGTAGGTAGGCAGGCAGGCAGGCAGGTAGGCAGGCAGGCAGGCAGGCAGGCAGGCAGGCAGGCAGGCAGGTAGGTAGGTAAGCAGGCAGGCAGGCAGGCAAGCAAGGTGAATCATCAACTGTTGATCTGACTCATCCAGACATTAATAATAGGATAATCAGGACGTGCTAGTCAAATCATCAAAGCTATTTTCCCAACTCTATTGAAAGAGAAACGGCCTGATACTACTGCTCCTTCTTAATCACAATTCCCCCCAGTTATAGCTTTTAGAGTGGGTCTAATTGATTTAGCAGCTCTCCAAACTGGATAGGGGAGAAAGTTTGCTTGGTGGGGATGTTATTTCAAGACTCCAGAGGGTTTTTTTTTTTTTTTTTTTTTTAGGATGATCTATGTTGTAAACTAAGGAAAGGAACGAAACCAAAATGAAGAACCAGCCCGTGTTTTCGGGTGCAAATCTGACCCTCATAATCCTGCCTACACTAAGGGAGTAAACCCCTTAGCTCCATGAGAAATTGTTTCTGGGTAAAACCAGTATGTGTCGATGAGCGTGAGACTTGTTGACAGCAAAACCTGTAAGATTCGAATCCCAGAGCTCTTTCTGGAGAGAAAATTCACTGAACTGTGTAGGAATTATTCAACCTTCCAGTCCAAGTTGTGCTGAGGCCGAAAGAGAAAAGAGGCGGATGGGAAGAGGGACACGTATCCCACTTACTGATTGCAAGACAACATATTTATTGCAGTTTCTAAAATAAAATATTCTGGAAGTTAAAGCAGTGGCTTTATTGTGCCATACTTTACTGTATTTTAAATCACCAATTTAAAGAAACATAATCCCCCCTGTCACTCTTTTTTTTGTTAAGTAAGTCAAGTTGAACGACCCCCACGGATCCCTTACACACCTGATTTCTCTCAAATCGAGTTTAAGCAGCTTGAGCCAAATTTTTCCCATTCCTCTCTCTCTCTCCCCAATATCCACAACAGTTTTCTTCGAGAAATAAAGCAAAAGAAAACACAGCAAATCCGTCCCCAAAGCGAAGAAATATAACAGGAAAAAGCAGCTGCTTCTAAACTCTCACCTCCGTCCGGCCTAGATGAAGATCGACTTCGGGTTTTTAAAAGAAAAGCATCGGTTCTTTCTGCCGAAGGAGCCCTTCTTCATAAACATGTTTCGGGATAGTAGGATGGAGAGAAAAGGAACTCCAGAAAAATCTGAAAATCGGAGGGCGCTTTAGCCAGTTCAAGGTCACTGTCTAGGTTATGAAATGGCTTCTTCGTCTTATGCAAATGAGGGTCTTGATGGACACCCCAGCTCTTGCGCAAGAAAAAAGGGCTCTTCTCTCCCCCCCCCCACTTGAGTGCTTTCTGAAGCTTTGTTCCAGATAATTCTCAGCAGTCCTAAATAGGCACTCCAGCTTTTGGCTGGCAGATCGCTCTACCCTCCTCCGCCTTGATCTTAATGTAGTTCTCCCATCTCCTAAACTAGCTTTTGGAGGAAGAGGGAGAAGAGAAGGGGTGGAACTCAGTGGACAGTAATACTGTCATATTGCTTTCCAGATTGCTCCCCCTCAAGCAATTAAAATATTAAATTTGTAGAAGTATGTGTATTTGGGAAGACAAGTTATTCGCCTCCCCAAAAATAAAATAAAACTTAACTTTCCAGTGAATAAGCCTAACTTTAAAAAGATTTTGAGTTTTACTTTAATTAGTCCAATTATGATTTTTAATGAAAAAGAAAAGAAAGAAAGAAAAAAGAAAGAAAAAAGAAAAGAAAAGAAAAGAAAAGAAAGAAAGAAAGTAAATAAGAAAGAAAGAGAAAAAGAAACTTTCAACTCCACTGCCCTCCTAAGTTAATGTAATGGCAGGCATATCAAAGCTCTGAGATCTATGGGAACTATGCAAAATTTTTGTTAGCTTTCTTGGAAATCCCTGAAGCTACCAGTATATAATTATGGACAAGTGTTCACATGAGCACCAAAGTTATGAAAATGATTCCATTAAACTAAATCATTGAAAAGGCTGAATAATGCAAATTGAGTACTTCATAGGAACTGGGATGGAAAAGAGATTAAAGAGGAAGAACATTATGTAGTGTACAAAACAAATGATATACAAAGAATGCCTAAATACTTGGCTCTTACAAGGATTTCTCCTTCTTCTCCTTCTTCTTCCTCCTCCTTCCTCCCCCCTCCTCCTCCCTTTTACAATTCAATGATTCTGCACTGTGCCCTTAAGAGTTAAATGCTCATGGTATAACTAAGTTTTCCCCAGCACTGCCAGCAGAGGCTATCCGTCTCCTGCTGGATTTATATGTAAACCAGTTCACTATGTCTTCAGGGAAGTAAGACTAAGAAGACAAAATAATAGTAATAATTCTCTTTGCATATTCTTCCTTTCATTGTTTAACAGGTTTTTTTTTAGGATGATCTGTTTCATTCTAAATTTGTGGAAACTGATCTCATTGGTTTCAATGGGTCTTACTTTCCTGTCTCACGGACCACCACCTTTAAACTTTTTTTCAAAGTTATCTTAGGGATTCCACAATAAAACTAATTACATGTGAAAACAATCTAACCCACCAGTTGCCAGATTCCAGATATCTCCTTCGCAACTATGCAATCCTCTTTTAAAAGAAGCAATCACATTGCTCTCTTAAGCCTACTTGATTCCTGGGATAAGATATTCTTGTGAAAAATCTGTGGCTGCAAACTTTACCCATGATGGTGTTCAAGGTTTTCCTGTAGACAAAATCTAGTCCTCTTGTGTCACTAGCATAGTGTACCACTTGCCCCCTCTCAGAGCTTTAATAATAAGTTATTGCAAAGAATATTTAATGGATTTAAAGGAAGAGGCAGGGAAGAAGTAAAATTGGAGCAACTAAAATTCCAGGATACATGCAGATAACCCCCCCCCCACACACACACACATATACGCATGCACATTCTTACCTGGAAATCAATTCCATTGAATTACTTTGGCATAGGGATATGTATGCATATGTCTTTTTCAGTTTCTCTGTTTTTTCAGCCTTACTCCCTAATCAGAGAAGACACACATTCTTCCCTTTCCATAAAAGAAGGACTTTAGAAACCTTTAAAACTCCCAAGTGCAAGTGATACATAACTAGGAAATGGCGGAAATTGGAGAGAGGGGGCCTTTACCTATAAAAAGGCTGCAGTTAAGACCTTTATTCAAAGCACTTGATACAAAAGAAAGAAAA